CATGTTTGCAAGCATCACCTGGCTGGTGGCAGCTCCACGGTAGGGTTGTAGGTGTGGCAGGACCGCATGTCCTCGGGCAGGACAGTAGGACTCTGGCACCAGAAATGTGCGCTGCCTTAGGCTGTGGTCCTTGCCACTGTGCCCAACCACTGAATATCCTCTTTGGAGGAGCAGAAGTTGGGGACAGCTGTCCCTGCACAACTCCTACAAGGAGCCCACCACACTTGCTGCACAACCTTTCTCCTCCCCTACAGGTAGTGGCTCCCACAATCAGCTCACCAGTTTGCCAGGAGCAGCTGATTGAGGCTGGCAAGTTGGTGGCCAAGTCGGCGGAGGGCTGTGTGGAGGCCTCCAAAGCGGCCACTGATGATGACCAGCTCCTGAAGCAGGTGGGGGCGGCAGCCACGGCTGTCCACCAGGCCCTGAACGACCTGCTGCAGCACATCAAGCAGCATGCCTTGGGAGGGCAGCCCATCGGGCGCTACGACCAGGCCACTGACACCATCCTCAATGTCACCGAGAACATATTCAGCTCTATGGGTGATGCTGGTGAGAGCAGCTGATGGCATCTGGAGTAGAGCACAGTGGATGGGGAGGTATTGGGGAGCCCATGGAACTTGCTAACTGGCCACCCTTCCTTTCTGTCCCAGGGGAAATGGTGCGGCAGGCTCGTATTCTGGCGCAGGCCACCTCTGACCTCGTCAATGCCATCAAAGCTGATGCAGAGGGTGAGACAGACCTGGAGAATTCACGCAAGCTGCTGAGTGCAGCCAAGATCCTGGCCGATGCCACAGCCAAGATGGTGGAGGCTGCAAAGGTTAGTGGCATGGGGGACAATGGACACTGGCTTTGGCCCGCATCCCCATCCGACACCGCCAGCTCAGTGCTGCAGAGGGGACAAGCAGCCCCTGAGTGAGGAAGCGGTTCCCAGGGCAAGGTCCTGCACCAACCTGAGGACCTGTGCAATGGAGTGGGGCTCCTCCTGGTGCTGTGGGTGGTAGCAGAGGAGCTGAACTTTCCCCTTCTGAGCTCCCCTGGAGAGGCTTTGGGGTGGCCAGGCTGTCTTTGGGGGTACTTCCTGGCATCAGGCTGGAGCACAGCCTCTGCTGCAAGAGCACAAGGGATGCCGTGGTGCCTGCGAGGTGCAATGGGTTTCCTGCTTTCTCCAGGGAGCTGCAGCTCACCCTGACAGTGAGGAGCAGCAGCAGCGGCTGCGCGAGGCGGCGGAGGGGCTCCGCATGGCAACCAATGCCGCAGCCCAGAATGCCATCAAGAAGAAGCTTGTGCACAAGCTGGAGGTAAGATGCTGGGCAAGGGGCTACAGAGGACTAGCAGGCACAGTCAGCGAGCGAGATCTGGCTGGGAGCCCCAACATCCCTGCACTTTCCAGAGGGATAAAGTCTTTTTCATGTCCAGTGTCTGTGCTGCATCCCACAGAGGCCTCCCTGCTGCTCCCTCCCCTTCCCTTGAGCACGTTGCTGTGGGATGCCAGGCAGCAAGGGCACTGGGGATGCCCCGTTGTTGCAGGCAGAGGCATGGAAGGAGAAGCTTAGGGGTAGCTGAGCCATGGTGCGTGGCAGGGGGGCTCGGGGCAGGCCACCCTTCCTCTGGTGCTAATCCATGCGTCCCCCCATCAGCACGCAGCTAAGCAAGCTGCCGCCTCCGCCACCCAGACCATCGCTGCCACGCAGCATGCTGTGTCCTCCAACAAGAATCCTGCTGTGCAGCAGCAGCTGGTACAGAGCTGCAAGGTAAGGGCCCAGGCCAGATCCTGGCATCTCCTGCACCACCTGTCCCTGTTCCTTCTCCCAGCCGCGCAGCACGCCGCCTCCTCCAACAAGAACCCTGCCGCACAGCAGCAGCTGGTGCAGAGCTGCAAGGTAAGGACCCAAGCCTGATCCAGGTGTCTCATGTGCTACCTCTCTCTGTCCTTTCTCCCATCAGCTGCACTGGGACTCCATGCTTGGCCACAGTGGGCAGGACCTTGGGGTCCTCACACAGCTCCCCTGGGAGCCGATCTTTCCGTCACTGGTCCTGGATTAGATCTGTCTCCTGCGGGATGAGCCCCTCCAGTGACCTTCCTCTCTGGCAGGTGGTGGCAGAGCAGATCCCGATGCTGGTGCAGGGTGTACGAGGAAGCCAGTCCCCGCCTGACCGCCCCCGCGGCCCGCCG